GAGAGAACACATGCTTGTTGTTTTAAGCTGCTGAGTCTCGGGGTGATTTTTGGTACAGAAAATGGTAACACACACAGAACTGAGGGCAAGCATTACCTTTCGCTGGGGAATATTAAGGACAACACTACCTTGTATTTACACAGCACTTATACTTTTCAAAGCATTTCAACATCCGTTCTCCTCTGAGCCTCTTTTATATATATGTATTTTTAACTTATTTCAGAGAGGAAGGGAGACGGAGAGAGAGAAACATCAATGATGAAGAGAACCATTGATCAGCTGTCTTCTGCATGTCCCTTGTCAGGGACCTAGCCCACAACCCGGGCATGTGCCCTGACCGGGAATCAAACCTGGGACTCTTTAGTCCGCAGGCTGATGCTCTATCCATTGAGCCAAACTGGCCGGGGCTCCTTTGAGCCTCTTGATAAAACGTCTAGGAAATGATAGAGATCACACGCCTGGCATCTCTCCACATGCCAGCCAGGGTCCCATTTAATAAATCTCACACCAAGGCTCCAGTCCCAATGGGGGGTCTCCCAACATGAGCAGATGTTAGCTCTTCCCAATGACAAGTCTCACAAAATGTTACCTGATGAGACTGAGGTGCAGGCAGGGCACCGCCTCACCCCAATAAAATGCTCCCCTGTTGCCTCAGGAAGCCTTCAAGGCACAGGCTTTCTCCTGCTTCCTGACCACAGAGCTGGATAAGATTCCGCATGTTCCCTTGGCAATGTCCTTCCCTGGGGGCGCAGTGCTCCGAAGGCCCAGAAGGTGGCAGCAGAGACCAGCCTCCCCAGATGGCGGCCCAAGCAAAGAGCAGCCACAGACACTAACCACTTGCCCTGGGGTGACGGTGAGCGCTCGCCCAGCCGCCCCGGCAGCCACGCCCCGCACTCACCAGCCACAGGTGACTGGGGTCCGCGGCCACGGAGGGCTCCGGCCTGTCCTTCGCTGAGCGCAGGTCACTGGGCCGGCGGGAGCTGGGGTCGGCCTGGGACTGAACGCTCACAGGGAAGGGACCTGGAGGGAGAGTTTGGAGGCCCCATCAGAACAACCCGGCAAAATCCTGGTGTGGGAGAGCTGCCCAAGGGCCAGAGGAGACACCGGGAGCCGGTGGGTGGCTTCACGGCGGAGGCAGAGTCCTCCAGCAAAGAGCGTGTCACCCCATCACGGCCCATGCAGTGCAGGGGCCCAAGGGACCCAGGAGGGAGTCTGAGCCCAAGAAGAGGCAACGTGGAGAGTCCACGATGGAGCCACGGCAGCCACGGTGCTGGCCACGCAAACCAGACGTGCTGGCCACATGGGGCCTTCCTACTCAGCCTCCCTCTCCCCCCCGCCGCCACACACACACATTGCATTTCATACTGGAGGAAGCTAGCCCTCCCTGGGGTCTGAGTTTTTAGCAGAGTCAGGGGGACAGTGAGGTGTCGCCTGGCCTGGTCCGCTTTACGCCAGAGAGTGAGTCATCACCACCAACTGGGACCGTCCTGAAAGGGCCACATGCTACGGTGACCCCGAGGGCAGAGAGGGGGCCTGGCCATGTCTGGTGGGGGAACAACCCCATGTCCTGCTGGCATGTCGTGGAGCACAGCCCGGACAAGGGTGGACTAACCTGGTGGCCTCGAGAACCCATCTGTCCTCTGTGCTGGCCGACAGGGAGGAGGAGCCCCCCCCCGGTCTGGTTCACTGCGGACACAGGCCATGGACAGAGCCACAGCCAGCAGGACCTATCAATCATCTCCCACTCTCCATCCATCCGCCCCTCGTCCACCCTCTATCCACCCATCGTCCGTCTTTCGACAGTCACCTGTCCATCGCCCAGCTTTCTTTCTGCACACCAATACACTAAGAGAGGTTATCTGTAGGCAATGGGATCATGAGCATTTTTTTCCTTTTTAGAAAAGGTTTTGCAATGAATACGGGTCAGTAAGTCGTCCGGTTAAAGAAGTGGGGTGAGGGCAGCTACACGTACACACAGGATGGGGCGGGGGCGAGGGGAGGGGGTGAGAGGCGGCACTTGCCCTGCTCCTGGGCGCTCGGCCGCCAGATGTGCACGCTGCCCGTGCGGGCCCGGGACGGCTCCACGCCTCCCGGGGGCTGGGCGGCCGGCTGCAGGCCAGAGGCCACCTCGCTCCGCAGCTGGACGAGGTCGTGCTCTGAGAAAGAGCGGTCCCGCTTCAGCGTCACTTCCCCACACGGAGACTCTTCCTCCTGCGGACACACCAGCCTGAGCCCTCCCCTCGCCTCTGGCCCCCCAGCACCCCTGCCCGTCCCAGGACTGGGGGACAGGACACGCGGTACCGCCGGGCCCACGGACCCATAGGGCCATCCTCTGGACAGTGGGAGGCAAGTGCCCCCAGACCAGGCAATTCCCGCAGCCTCGGAAGGTCTGGTGTCAGGGGGAGGCAGGAGGGCGGGCAGGGGCCATGCTGGGACATGCTGGCTTTTCACATCGGCCAGGGGCTGCTCAGCGTCCAGCCCCGAGATGGCAGCCGTCCTGTGCTATGGGAACGGGGGTGGGGTGCAAGGCCACTGTCGCCCCCGAGTCCACCATGCTCGCTCCCAGGGAAGGACCCCGCATTGGCAGAGGGCACTGCCCGAGGCTCTGCACAGAGGACGCCCCACCTGGACCTGCTCAGCCCCGTCTCCCTTCCTGCCCCTCCAGCGCCTCCCTGGCCTCTCCCAGGAGCCCGTGGGGTCTGACCTCAGACGTGCTCATCTCCTCCATCTCTGCCAGGGTGGGCGCCTTCAGCAGCACCCGGGGCCGTGGGCGTTGGGCGCCGCTCCCGGCGTCCGTGACAGACAGGTTGATGCAGGACGTGGACTTGACATCCCCGGAGCAAGCGTTGAGGATGCAGGGCAGAGAGCCAAAGCCTGGGGGGGAGGGAGAAGGGGCAGGACAGGAAGTCAGGGGGGCAGAGGGTAGGGAGGGGGGAGGAGCCGCAGGGAAGGGGGGGTCCCTGGCTCACCGCGGCCGCCCCAGTGCTGGGCCCCCACGGGGCGCAGCCTCCGCTCCTGCTTGATCTCCTCCAGGATCTTCTCGTGCAGGGTCCTCTGCTTCTGGGGGAGGGGCCGGAGCCTTCTCTCTGAGACCTGCAGCGGGGGCAGTGCAGGGGGATGGTTAGGGAGACCCACCGGGAGCCCCGCACCGCGGGGGGCAGACGGGTGTCCAGGGAGCTCCTGGGGACGGGTCCACGGAGACCAGCCCTTGGGCACCTCCCTCTGCACAGATGCACGCTGCCCTCGGGTCCAGGAAGGGGCCCAGGGGTGAGGGCACCGAGTGGGCACCTGCTTCAGCGGCGGCCGCGAGCGGATGAAGTCCAGGATGAGCTCGTGGGCGTCCTTCTTCACCTTCGGCGGGATGTCCCCGTCGACCTACGGGGGCGGGTGGGGGCTCAGGGCCTGGTCCTCACATCCTCCTCCCTGCAACCCGTCAGCGTGGCCTGGGGTCCTGCTCACAGTGCCCACATGGCACCACCCACACTGCCCTGCGCCTGGGGCTCTTCATGGGGAGACGGGTCCGTGGCACCACCTCCCAGGGTCGTCATGGGAACGAGATGAATCCGCACATTTAAAATTCTTAGGGGGAAGGGGGCAGCGGCCACAGGGGGTTCCATCTGCCCGTCACACGAGGAATCGGGGCCACATCTGCCTGCACCCACGGGCCCCCCGGCGGTGGCCAGCACACGGGGAGGAAAAGGGGGGCTTGGGGGGAGGATACGGCAGGCTCTGGCCGCTCACCATGACCTTGCGCAGCTTGTAGTTCCGGGCCCGGATGTCCTGCATCAGCATCTCGAAGGGGGTGAGCTGGAACTCGGTGGGCAGCGGGTTGAACTCCTGCTCCTGCACCTTCTTGAGTTTCACTCCGTGGCGCAGCTCCCGCATGAGCTGGACCCAGAGCCGGGCCTGGGCCCCGAGAAGGTGAGAATGGCCCTGAGCCCTGGCCAGGCCTCCCGGGGTCCCAGGCCAGGGGGGCGCATCTTACCCAGTCCGTGTGCCTCAGGTTGTCGAGCTCGGCCAGGGGCTGCTCCGCCTGCGGCTCGTCCTCACGAAGCTTCTGCAGCATCTGTGGGGCAGAGGGAAGGCGGGGGGTGGCAGCTCAGGGGGTGGATGCCCGCCGGGCCATCCCCACGGCCTGTCTTTACCACATGGGCTACTATTCCACCAGCGAAACCAGGGCCAAAGCCGAAACCTGCGGACTGAAGGGTTCCAGGTTTGATTCCGGTCAAGGGCACATTGGTTGCAGGCACATCCCTGGTGGGGGATGTGCAGGAGGCAACTGATTGATGTTTCTCTCTCATCGATGTTTCTAGCTCTCTATTCCTCTCCCTTCCTCTCTGTAAAAAAATCAATAAAATCAATCAATCAACAACAACAACAAAAAAACTAGGGCCAAAGCTCGGGGCACAGAAAGGTATCTGGGAGAACTAAGCCATCGGCCATGGACCCAGACAGACACATGGTGCCCCATCGCCATCCCTGATAGCTTCTCCTTGGCAAGGGCGGGAACGAGAGCCTAGCACCCAGAGACCCGCTCTCGCCTGGTCTGCACACCCCAGCGAGGCGTGGGGCCCTCCAAAGGGCACGGAGCCCCGCTCTCCCGCGTCTGAAGCGTTTTCCCTCAGATCCCAGCTCACAGCCCTTCCCCGGGAAGGCCTTTCTCAGCTTCCTCACCTGGGCCACACCGGCCCACCCTCCCAGAACACCCACGGCCTCGTCTCTGCACGCGAACCAGCGACAGCACTGCAGCCACCAGCTTCTTTAATGGTGGCCTGCACTAGTGACTCCACGAGGCCACAGCCACATTTCCTGTTTGTGTGTTTCTCCTCATGTTGGTATTCCTGTCTCCTTAGCACAGAGTGGCACATGCCAGGTCTTAAATGTTGGTTGAATGAATGAATGGATGATGGATAAATGGATGGATGGATATACGGGTGGTGAATGATGGGCAGGTGGGTGGATGGATGGATGGATGGATGGGTGGATGGGCAGGGGATAAGTGGGTGGGTAGGGGATGGATGGATGGTTATATGGGTGCATAGGTGGATAGGTGGATGGGTGGGTGGATGGATGGATGGATGAATGGATGGATGGATAAATGGATAGATGGGTATATGGGTGATGAATGATGGGTAGGTGGGTGGGTAGATGGATACATGGATGGATGGATACCTGGGTGGGTAGGGGATGGATGGATGGTTATATGGGTGGATAGGTGGATGGATGGATGGATGAATGGATGGGTGAGAGGGTGAGTTACTCAGCAAGACCTGAAAAACAGTCACAGGTCTGTATTTTATGAGCTGGGAAAATGCCGCCAGCAAGTTCAGGGCCAGAGAAGGGTTTCAGGGATTATTGGATAACTACCACGCTGAGAATCTGAGAAGAAGCTGCTACATTTGCTGCCTCCATTGCCCTGGGTCTTGGCAGCATCTGGGGCGTCTGTTCTCACCAGCTCCCCCACCTGGCGAGGCATCTGCCCTTTAGCATACTGCCCCCTTTCACGCCCCCCTCCCCCCAACTAAGACGGAACCGGTTCCCCTGGCTTCAGCCCCACGCCACCTGCCAAGCTGCTCTAGAAAAGGCTGCCAAGTCTCCGAGAAGCACAGGTATGTGGTTCTAAAAATAGGCTTGTGTGTGGCCTGGTGGTCCCTGTGGGCAAAGGGCGCAAAGGCGAGTCTCCCATCCTTCCTGCAGCAGCACGCTTGTCTGTCCCTGAGCAGCCAGCGTCTGCCCCAAATGCCTGGCCAGCTGTGTCTCCCCCAGAGCCTCCTGGCACTCCCTCCACCACTAATTCCCAGAGGTTCTTGTGGGTCAACGGCTTGAAATCTGGAGCTTTTTAAAGAGTGCCTGTCCTCTGGGTCAGAAATCAATCCTAGCCACAGAACGCTGACTCTGAGCACCCACTAATGGGAGCGTTAGAAGGACATCTCCCAGAGGCAGCGGAGGACGGGGGCCGAGGAGCCACCATCCTTGGCATATTGATGGGCTGCAGACAAGGGCCAAGGGGCTCAAGCAGCGGCTGCCTTGTCCAGAGCTGGGTCCCAGGCCCCTCCAGTCAGAACAACTGAGAGCCTGCTCAGGCCTGAGGGTCAGGGAAGCTGCCCTGAACACTTCTTTGGTTCGGATAGGTGGATAGGTGGATGGGTGGATGGATAGATGGATGGATGAATTGATGGATGGATAAATGGATGGATGGATAAATGGATAGATGGGTATATGGATAGATGGGTATATGGGTGAAAGAACGCCTTCTGCACTCCCTCACCCCACCCCACCCTACCAGCCGTCTGATTTCTCCTCTGTGAGGTGCAAATGGGAAGCAGTTTCCTCAAGACCCGGAGAGGTGAGGGGCAGACTGTCAGCTCCTCACCCTGAGACCGCCCAGGGGCAGGGCAGCCCTGGGGAGACCTCCAGCAGAGGCCCAGCTCTGCCCTGTGCTAGGCTGTGACGGGGGCGGGATACAGCCTCCCATAGTCTCCGCAGAAAACAGGCCATAGATTACCACATGGGTCTGTCAAAGCTCCAGGCACCCCAGCAGCTCTGTGCATCCTGGGGGCAGGGAAGAGTGGCTGCCATTAGCACCTCATCTTCAGGAGGGATGGCACCTGTCCAGGTGAGCTGGAGGCAGGAAGTTGATACCTAACTGAGAGGCAGCAGGCGGCCGCCATGGGGCCCAGGGGTCTCTCCAGGCCTCCCGTCCCCTCGGGGGTAACACTGGGTAAGGTATGAGGGTTACGCACAGAGTGGATTTCCCCGCTCCAAATAAGACAGGAGGACAAAGGAACTGACACAGAAGAACAGCCTGCCACTTGGACCTCCCCTCCCCAGCCCCCATCACCCAGCACCCAGACACCACCTTGGCCCCTCCTGCCTCCTCCTGAGACCCCTCCTGTTTGCTCAGCACCATGGCACGGGGGTCCCCCCCCTGTCCTGGGCCCCTCCCCCTCCTGCCTCCGCCACCGGAACCTCCCGCAGCCTCGCCGCTCACCTCCTTGGCCTCGCGGACCCGGGCCAGGAAGGCCCGCAGCTCCAGCGTCTCCACGAAGAGCGCGCGGCACACGGCCTGGTAGTGGGCCTGGGCGCTCCGGGGGTCGGTGAGGCGGGCGGCGCACAGCCGCATGGCCTGCGCGAAGGTGCGGACGGCCCGGGGGGCGCCCTCGGCCTCCTCCTCCTCCTCCGGGCCCCCGTAGCCCTCATCCGCGGCGCCGCCCCCGCCGTCCTCGCAGTCGCTGTTGGCCATCAGGTCAATGAGCCGCTCCAGCTGCGGGCTGAGCTCCCGCTCCTCGCTCTCATCCAGGCCCCAGTCCAGCGCGCGGTAGATGGCGAAGCCCAGGGACTGCACCATCTGCGGACAGGGGTGCAGACCATCATGGGCGGTGGGGATGGGAGCACCACCAGGGAGGGACAGGGGCTGGGCCTGAGTCACAGGCGGACAGCTGCCCTCCACCGGGGGTGCACCAGGGGCCACAGAGCAAGACACTGGCCCCCAAACAGCTTGGCCACTGTGGAAAACACTGGCCGGTTCTCACAATCAAACATGCATTTCCCACATGACCCAGATGTTTAACCAAGAGAAGGAAACACAAGCATCCACCAAGGCGTGTCCTGGATGCCCACAGCATCCACGCCCGGACGTCTGACCATCGCCCACTGGTGGACGGCACACCAGTGCGGCCCTTTCTTACGGAGAAAACCGGGCAGCTGTTCACAGGCGCAGACCACTGCGCTCCTCTCACACCCAAAACGCGAGTGGGCCCGGCCGGGTCTCCGCGGTGCATGGTTCCCTGATATAAAACTTGAGGCAGCCCTGGCCGGTTTTGCTCAGTGGGTAGAGCATTGGCCTATGGACTGGGGGGAGGGGGGTTCCCAGGTTCGATTCTGGTCAAGGGCATGTACCTTGGTTGCAGGCACATCCTCAGTGGAGGGTGTGCAGGAGGCAGCTGGTTAATGTCTCTCTCATCGATGTTTCTAGCTCTCTATTCCTCTCCCTTCCTCTCTGTAAAAAAATCCATAAAATATATTTTAAAAAAACAACAACAAAAAACCTTGAGGCAAGGAAAGTTTCATCTATAGCCACAAAAAGCAGGCCAGTGGTTCTGAGCCGGGCTGGGCTGGGGACTGAAGGGGGACAGGAAGTTTGGGTGATGGAAGAGGTGTGAGTCCCTGTGGTTAAATGGTAGATACATCTGTCAAACTCGAGTGTCAAGCATACCCCCAAAACTCTGATTACAAAAGACAGAGACACCCTAATAAGTGTTATCCCTTTAATGTAATATGACAGCATACTGTAAATCTGAGAAAGACCAGCTCATTAACACATGCTGCTGGGATAAATCCCGTAATTCTGCATGATAAAGTTTGACACTTGTACTGATAAGAAATGACCTCCCCATTTAACTATTTTAAACTGCGTGTAAATGTCAAAGTATATGTTTTGCGTGAAAAAGAAAAACCTAAGAAATAATCATATTTGTAACTGGTTATAACTGTCAAGAGCCCCAAGCTGGGATCCATGAAACTTTTTATTTTTTAAAGTGCAATTAGCACATTAAAAATCTGTAAGCTAAGGTGTGGCTCAGAGGTTGAGTGCTGACCTATGAACCAGGAGGTCACGGCTGGACTCCTGGTCGGGGCACATGCCCAGGTTGGGGTTGTGGTCTCAGTCCCCAGAAGGGGGTGTGCAGGAGGCAGCCAATCAATGATTCTCTTCTATTTATGTTTCTATCTCTAAAGAAAATTAAAAAAAAAATAAAACAAAAGGACAACAACTCTGCTTATGCTGGGCATTGCGCTGAGCTGGCTGCCAGCCAACTTTGCAACAAGGCACCAGTACCCTCCCGTGTCATAGGGCAGGCACGGAGGCACAGATGCCATCCCTTGCCTGCAGCTAGCAGCTGGCCGAGCTGGACTTGAGACTCTGGTCTGCCATGGCCTGGTGGAAGGCTGTGCGGTGGCAGGGGGAGCTGGGCCCTCACCAGGGCACCTTCCACTCCCCCACCGTCTGCCCTCAGAGGACTCTCTGGCACTCCTGTCATTTCCTGCCTTCCCACCACCCGGCACCAGGAGCTGAGCAGAGCTGAGGGCAGACGGTGAGCGCCAGCATCGAGCAGGGGACGGGTGTGAGAACAGGGCTCTCTGTCCTGCAGACAGGCCTTAGAAAGCACCCTGAACCAGGGGGTCAGCCAGGCTCAGGGGACTGGTGGGAAGGGAAGGCTCCAGCCTAAAGGATCACTGATTGGCTGCCCAGCCAGTATGGAAGGCTGTCTCACCTCTGCTTTAGGCGGGCGAGGTCACAGACCCAGCCTGAGTCACGACCTGGAATCACGAATCACAGGGAAGAGCCCAGCCTAAAGGCTGCTGACACCTGTCAGGTCACTGGGGAGCCCCAGGGGAGCCCCAGGCAGCAGCCAGAGAACCCCCGCCCATGACCCTCAGATGACTTCGTGGGCAGGAGCCACCATTTATTTATTTTTTGAGAGAGGGAGAGAGGGAGAGAAAGAGAGAGAGGAAAGGAGAGGAAGAGAGAGAGAGACATTGTTGAGTGGCTGCCTCCTGCATGCCCCATCCTGGGGATCAAGCCTGAACCCCAGCCATGTGCCCTGACCTGGAATCGAATTGGTGACCTCTTGGCTCATGGGTCAACGCTCAACCACTGAGCTACACCGGCTTGGCCAGAGGCCACCATTCACACCAATTCCCATCAAGTCTTTCTTGGCCCAGGGGTAGGTGCCAGGAATAAATTTCACGCCCGTCCACTCTAGGTCTGTTCCACACACACACCCCACCTTGGACCCTGCTGATCCTAGTGATGGCTCTGACCAGGTCTGTCCAGTGGGGACCACCCTGCCACAGGGGGCAGGACAGACAGAGGCAAACAGAAAGGCCCCCTCACTGTCCTGGCCACCGCCTCAGCCAGCTCCCCGTCACGGAAAGGGTTAACTCCGTCAAAGTGCTCATCTGATAGCTGCTCCTAAAAGCCTCTCTGTGCCCTGTGCACCTGGAAGGCAGGCACTTGCTTTCCCATAAGGAGAAATCTGGGAAGCAGGCCAGAGTCCCAGGACCTCCAGCCCTGCCTGTGGGCGGTGGGCCAGCTGGGGGGGGGGCCATCTCAGTAATGGAAGGAGCCATGAGCCATGGAGAGGAGCTGACGCTGCAGGCCGGCTCCCACAAGGAGCCGCAGTGAGAATCAGGGCCAAGATGACAAGTGCGTCCCTGGCCACGTTTCCTGGGCTGGGGTATCAGGCTAGTTTATGGGCCCAGGCACAACCCTCCAGATTGGACAACCCCCCCCCCCCCCGTCGCTGCCCCCTCCCTGTAAAAGGCGTCAGAACGAATGACAGTGGGTCTCCTTTGCTGGCAGGTGTGGGCCAGGGGACAGCCCTGGGGACACGCTGGGCTGAGGGCTGAGGGGCAGCTGCATTCCAGGGAGAAGCACCTCATACTGAGCACTATGGGGTGGGAAGGGACCGAGAGCCCTGCTGAGCAGTGGAGATGAGTCTTGAAAAAAGGTGGTTGTTCTTCCCCCCACCAAACTCCAGAACACTATACAGGACGGGGCAAGGTAGGTTTACAGTTGTTTGTGTGGAAAAAATAATACAACAACTAATAAATAATAGCACAAGGATACACTGTATGCACTTATAACTGCAAACCCACTTTGCCCACCTCGTATGTAGGCAGCACAGAGCTCGGAGCAGCGCCAGCGACACCGTTTCCGCAGCCGAGGGTGGACCTGATCCCGACGTTACTGGGCACTGCCAGCAGCTTTGGGATGGTTTTGTGATTGTTTCTAAAAAATTCTCCAAGACAGAGGATATAGTCTCTTTCGACCTGAGCCACCACCTGCTCCGCCTAGTATAAGCTCTGTTTAACACAGGAATGTGTATTTGCATAAGACTGGTCTTTCAAAGGCAGTGGAGCCCTGACCGGTATACCTCAGTGGAGCGTCAGCCTGAGGACTGAAGGGTCCCAGGTTCGATTCCGGTCAAGGGCATATATGTACCTTGGTTGTGGGCACATCCCAGTAAGTGGGTGTACAGGAGGCAGCTGATCGATGTTTCTAACTCTCAATCTCTCTCCCTTCCTCTCTGTAAAAAAAATCAATAAAATATATTTAAAAAATAAAAATAAAAGGTAGTGGAATGATAAAACATCAAATTCAGGACCAATTACCTGGGGGCAGGTCACTGGGGGCACAGGGAGAAGTCCTACTGCGGAGGTCTGCGTTCTGGGGGTGTGGGGGTCCCTGGCATTGCTCACACAGCTGATTTTCTTCTGTGGCCCCCTGGCCCACAGCCTGCCAGACATCACACCACCTCTGCTCCCTCAGGGATGGAAGGAGAGGGGGGTAGGCTATCATGGTTTCCCCCTCTCTTTAGGGCCATCGAGGCTCACTGGGGCCCACACCACCCACGTGGGCTCCCCCAACCCCCAAACCTCTGGGTGAAATCTCTTCCTCGGATACCTTCAATGAAGCCCTTAGAGTAGGGGTGTCGAACTCAATCAGAGAAGGGGCCAAAATCTAAAATCCAGCCTAAATCGCGGGCCGAATGGTTTACTGAACAGTCATAAACTGTCATTGTGATGGAAACGCAGCGGAGTGCAGTGATGACAGCGCGGTGCGGGCCACATTGCAAGGCCTGGCGAGACGGATTTGGCCCGCGGGCCTTGTGTTTGACACATGTGCCTTAGAGCATTGTACCCGTGTCCTGTCCCACAGAAACAATGGTATAACTATGTTTTCTAACTTATACTATACAATGCACGAATGCTTTAATATGCATCAAGTAAATGTAAAAATTGTTCTGAAAGTACCTGGGCTTCCCAGCTGGCCGATGAAACCACCATCATTGTGGGCTCTGCAAGAGAGAACAAGCAGTCAGGACCGGCCTCACCACTCAGACCCGCGGAACGAGGGACGGGCACCCAGCCACCTTCCCCTGGGGGACAGACAGTGTATCACCCCCCAAACCCTCCCCTCACCCCTCAGACACCTTCCCCTGGGGGACAGACAGCACATCACCCCCAAACCCTCCATTCCCACAGCAGAAAGCTCACAGCGGACAGGGCCGAGGCCATTCGGCCATTTAGAAAGACATTGTAAGGGCAGGGCCATGGCCATTCGGAAAGACCCTGTAAGCCCCCGCCATGAGCTGGATGCCCAGGTGCGGGGCCAGGATAGAAGGCAGCCCCTGCCCACTCCAGTGTGGAGCCGAACACCCTCAAATCACAGCAGAGCTCTGGCAGCCCAGCTGGGTAAGGGCATCGGCCACCACTCTGGATCTGGGATGGAGCCCCGGGAGGTGGGGCTGTCTGCCTCAAGCTATCCCAGCTAGGAAGTGGTGGTGCAGGACGACCCCAGACACTGAGCTCCAGCCGCCCCCTCCCTTTCCCCATAGGACCTCCCAGGACGCGGACCGGATGAGGCCGGACCCAGCACGCCCACAGCCTTCCTAGACTCGGCAGGTAGAGAGAGCTGCATTAGACAGAGTCAGCTGCCCGACATTCCTTCTGGAACAAGGGGATGTAAACACACCAACCGTGGAGCTGTCTGCTAAGTGAACCTGCTAACCACGCAAATATTTCCAAGATGCCATCAGGCGCCGGGAAGATCGCCGAGATAAAGGGCCTCGGTGTCGGACAGATTCGTTAAACTAACAGAAAACACCCACCAGCTCCAGCGGGGCTGAAACGGGAGCGCCAGTGCACAGAGGCCGTGCTGGGCTTCCAGTCCGAGTCTGCGGCTGGGGTAGGGGAGGCCGTGGGAGAAGTCAGACTCAGAACAAAGGTGCCCCACGACCAAGAAGGGGGTGCAACCAGCCTTCAGGGCTCCTCATTGACTGAGCCTGTCTCCCATTTTTAGAGAGAGTGGAAGGGAGGGGGAGAGACAGAGAGAGATAACGATATGAGAGACACATCGATTTATTGCCTCTTGCACATGCCCTGACCAGGGCAAGGGATCAAGCCTGCAACTATGCCCTGACTGATGTGGCTCAGTGGACAGAGTGTCGGCCTGCAGACTGAAAGGTCCCAGGTTCGATCCAGTCAAGGGCATGCACCTTGGTTGCAGGCACATCCCCAATAGGGGGTGTGCAGGAGGCAACTGGTCCATGTTTCTCTCTCACCGATGTTTTTAACTCTCTATCCCTCTCACTTCCTCTCTGTAAAAAAATAATTATATATATATATATGTCTTTTTTGTTTTTTTTAAGCCCACAACCATGTATATGCCCTTGACTGGGTCAAACCTGGAACCTTCAGTGCACAGGCCGACACTCTATCCATCCACCGAGCCAAACTGGCGAGGGCTCTGGCTGAAATAACTTTAACGCTTAGATCCATGGCTGAAATAATCCATGTTAACCAAAGTAAATGCTCATGAATGCAACTGTGAACTTGGGTTGGGCTGAACAAGCTGCCCCTCGGTGAGGTTTGGGGGAGGCTGTGCCCAGCTCTCTGCACAGAGCCCGTGGCTACCCCACTGACACGTGATTTGTTACGGCTCCAACCTGCATGGCCACCTGATGGGGGCTGCTGCCAGGATTCCCTCTTCACGGATGAGGAAACAGGCTCCAGGAGGTGAAGAAATGTGCTCAAGACCACAGAACTAATCTGGGGCTGGGCTGGGACCCCAACGTGTGGACACCTAACCCACCCAGGACGCGCAGGCCTAACTGCCCGCCAGGCCCTCTCGGTCCCCGAGGAACGCGCACCCGGGCCAGGACCTACTAAAAAAGCAAGCTCTCTGGTTTCCTTTGTGTGGAATCACAGAGGAGGAGACCTCGAGAAGCCACGGGTTCTCTTTGAAGTGATCCTCGCCGTAGTAGTAAGAGACGAAGGACGTCAGAGTCGGCAGGACTGCAGCCTGGGGTTCCCTGGAGCAGCCTCCAGAGGAAGGGCTTCCACCTGCCGCCAGGAGGGTGACGGGAGGAGGCTACCTGGCAGCCTGGGTCCCCTCTGCCTGGGGAGGGGGGGGGGCAGGGGCGTAAGAAGCTTTGTTCAGGCCAGATCCCTACCCACCTCTGCCACCGGGGGTCTTAACTGTAACGGAGGGTCCTGCCTCTCTGACCTCCTCTCCTCACTGCAGATGGAGACCACACGTGCCTGACCAATTCAGAACCAGTGAGGGAAGGAGGCAGACATGTCCTGGATCGCAATGGCCGGCAAGGCTGTGGAGGTGGGACCAGTGGGATACAATGCTGAGACCCCCAGGGCCTTTTGCCCAGGACAGCATAGTATTGGGGTCAGGAGGAGACCCCATCCATCTGGGGGGAGGCCGGCCACGCCTGGGCTCCCCCAGGCTGGAACCCAGGGGCCTTAGATACTGACAGTCACTGAAGACTACACAGCAGAGGGCTCCCAGCCCAGAAGGCTCCTGCTTTCCACATCTCAGGCCTGGGGCGGCCACGTGGCCCCGGCACAGACAGAGGTCCTGCTGGCTGTGGGACGGCCCCACTCGGCGCTGGTGGGAGATGACAACCACCCCAAGGACACGCCCGCTCGCCTCCTGACTGGCGTGGAAGGCACGCCCAGGTGGCATGACGCCGACGACCACTCACCCTAACAGCGACACACGCAGGGGACCCTGGACAGCCGCCAAAGACAGGGAGGTGTCCTCTGTAACGAGACAGGCTGAGCCCCCTTTTAAGGGAAGTGGCGGAGGGAACCCCGTGTTTTGGGGGGGGGCGGGTGTGTGTGCTGGGCCTTCGGCTGTGAGGAGGCTGGACCGCGTGCCTGTCACCCTCTCTGAACTCGGAGCCTGTGATACACCGTGGGGTCAGGACACGAATCTGTGTGCGAGTGAGAAGGAGTGAGCGCACAGCCTCGCCCTCCCTCGGCACGCGGAGCAGGGTCTGGGAAAGCAGAGTGAGGCGTCGGACAGCCTGTGTGGCTGGCAGCCGCCTCCTGGGCCCGCTCTTAGAAAGCAGGGCTCCGCCCACGCAGGTGAGAATGAACCAAAACACCCTGAGCCCGGCATCGCGTGAGCCGCCCACAGTGCTCGCGCCTCGTCAGGAAACAGACCTCACAGCTCGGTTCAGGCACACCTCCGCCCGACAGGGCCCCAGGAAGGAGCTGGCG